ATACGGTATGTTTGGGCGAAAGCCGACACCATCTTATCACTCCCTCACTGCTACTCAAATGCTGTACAGTTGAAGAAATATTATCAGAAAAACCCAATACTTACCAACATAAATTTGCAGCTTGTCAACGTCTGCTTCCTTAGGAAATCTTTCATAATTCCTGTAGGATATATTAGATTTCTTGATTTTCTTCACATCCTTTTGGTCCGTTTGGTCAGCCAATCGTTCACGTGCCGATTCATTCAGCCGTTTCCCCAATTCTTTCTGGTGCTCTTTACGCTTGTCTTCATTTGTTGTTTTATTCTATAAAAAATGTTGCATGCCTGCGAAGTGTAGTGAACGTTTGTAACTTTGATCCTAACTGAAGAATGAGGTAAGGGACTCAATGGTTTGTTGACAGCAAGAATTTTCAATAAAAAATTTCTTTAAAAAAAAAAAAATAAATAAAATAAAAGAACACTTTTGCCTTTACCCTCGTCTGTTCCTGCAATAATACAGATCTTCTGCCTCGTCCAAGTGTGTCCGCCAGGTTATTTTCCTGAAAAATAAAATGCGTTAGAAGATTTCAGTCACTCCGTCCACGTTTCCTCAATATGCCTTCAAATAATTTTACAAATTACAACCTTGTTGTCGTCACCTTCTGACGTTTCCGGAACTGATTTGAATCGAATAGTGTTTGACTTCAAGCGCGACTTCGCCTTTTCTGTGAGGATTTCGTTTGCACCTTCCTGCAATACAAATACGCAATTATAATTAAAGTTGTGAATCTTCTCCATCTTGTCAAACCAGTATTTTTTTTAGCTTAAATCAAAGAGTTTGCTAACAGCGACCAACCGCTGCCAAAGCTATTGGTGATTCCTTCTTTCAAGGATGGTTCAAGAGCAAGTTCAAAAGAAGCAGACTTTTTGGAACGCGCAGAATGCAGGGGACGAATCGAATCCACCAACTGTAGACGAAAAATCCTACTGACGGGCTCGAAACAAGGGTTCGATCTGACAGCACGTGCTACTTATAGTCATTAGGGGTTTCGAGCTTTTATTTTCTTCAATTACTCGCACTGATTACACCTTCTAATTCAACCCCCTAATTCATTGAGCGAAGCGAAGGAACTCGTCTGTGCGGGACTAGTATTTGTTGACATCGCGCAACCATCGCAACAAAACCTCCCTACGGTCTTGCTGAACAGCAATGCTTGAAAGCATGATCAGGGCAAAATCGGCACTTTTTGCCCAACATCCCCGGTTATGCTGACTGTTGAAAGCTGTCAGTAAATCAGTTTTCGATTATTTTTTTGTCATTCACTAAAAACGCTTCCAATTTGACTGACGAAATTAATCCATTATAACTGATGCAAAATGATCTGAAACAAACCGCAGAAATCAAAACAGTATCGGACAGCAGCACAGCCGACGTTTTCGACTGCTCATCTTTTGCTTCTGGATTTACCAGACCATGCAAACCGACACAAACAATGAAAACCATATTTGGCCGAATTTCGATCTCACATTTTGGACTGATCAGTGCCGCCGACTCTCGAAATTCCAAGCCAGTCAAAAACCTGCAGGACAAATAATACATACGGGACTGGAACGCTTTTTAAAAGAAATCAACCATTTAGGGATATACTAACGTCCCACCAATTTCCGTCACTCAACATTTTTTTTTCTAACAAAAAAATTTTTTAATTTTACCGCAACATTATGAGTTCTTTTCTTTAATTCCACGCAACAAAAAACTGAGCGCATGCGCAACGGTTTTTACAAATACCACGGTCGCCTTAGAGGCAAAAAACAACATGATTGAGGGAAATGCATTGGGATGTAAATGCCTTTGCAATTTGGAACTTCCGCAGAACTTAACAAAAAAGGCTCCGAAAACAGGCCTTTACTGCTTCTTCCAGGCCCCGCAAGGATTTATACTTCCAAAATGCATTTAACTCAAATAATGTTGGTGGCAAATACTACTACTTGTATCGCTTGCGAGTGCCTCTGTTTTTCACAGAAGG